ATAGGTGAAGGAAATTAAACAATGAGACTTTTGTAGATCATTCAGATAAAAAAATGTTTTATTTTTAGAATTATGGTTTAAGTCATATAGAAAAACAAGTTCTGGCTTGTTGTTTAAAATTTGATAGTTTATCAAAAAGGCTTAAATATAAGTATTATTTATTCATTTTTGAACAGTTGCTGCAACAAATCTCTATACAGACTATTTGGCGGGAAAGTAATGAATATTTTGACAAAATAAGAACTCAAGAGAATAACAAAGGATTAACATCTTTTAAAGATTACAGCTCTTAAAGAAACCTATTAATGTAAACAAGGAGAAATTTCAGGCCATTAAAAAGTTAGCTGCTAATGAAGATATAGTTATAATAAAAAATCTGATAAAGGAAATAGTGTGGTTATTTTAAATAAAACCGATCACGTTAATGAAGTAAAATAAATCTTAAATAATATTACTGAGAGTATGAAACTAGATAAAGACCCAACTAAAACTAGAGAAGGTAAATTACAAAGATACTGACTTATTAAAACTACAAAAGATATGTTACTGACAGATAATGAAAATCATGAATAAAATCAGCTGGTCTTATTTAGGTATAGTTCTCAAAATCCAAAAAATGGATGTCCTGTTAGACCGATAATGTTCAGCCTCATACAATAAAGAACTAGCTGTGGTTCCAGTTAAGTTGTTAGAACCTTTCATTATAAATGATATTTATATTATAAAATACAGTTTTGAGTTTTATCAAGAAATAAAAAAATTGAATTTTAAGAATGAAGTTTATCATATTAATTTTGATATAGAGTCCCGCCAGAAAATTCATCCACTAAGCTTTATCATCAAAATTAAATAAGATTTCCAAAACAGTATTAATTAACTTTCTGCTGTCTATCAATTCATACAACACATAGATTCGTAATTTTTCTTTCTTTCTTTTTTTAGAAACTATAGTCGCTGTTATATTAGTGCAAAGCTACAAAACGAGTTATCTGCATTCTGTCCACCGCGGCGAATCGAGGCCGGGATTTTAGCATTGAAAATCCTTAAACTCACCACTGACACATAAGAGGCTAAAATTTGTAGTCCATTCATAACTTCTCTCATTTATTTATTTATTTTCCATAAGGAGTGTGTAGTTTAAAAAAAGGTACATTTGTGTTTTCTCTCTGTTTTATATTATATCCACTAAAGGTCTGTTATATGAAAACAGATACAATAAATATATTATTATTATTTTTATCGCATTAATTAGGAGTTTGTAGTCTATCAATATATGTCGTATATAGATTCACAAATTCCTTCTTTTTTATAATTGTTATTTTATAAATTCGTAGTCTTATACTAGATACAGTACATAGATACATATTTATTCTCTGTTTTAATGTTATTGATTAAGGGTTTGTAGACTAACCTAATGTACAGTGTTAGAGAAGTGTTAATTAGATGTTGTTGGGTAACTAATATGTAGTGTTAGCGATGTGTTAATTAGATGTTGTTGGCTAACCTAATGTGTAGTATTAGTGATGTGTCAATTAAATATTGTTGGCTAGCCTCATGTGTAGTATTACTGATGTGTTAACTAGATCTTGTTGGCTAACCTAATGAGTAGTATTACTGATGTGTTAATTAGATCTTGTTGCTAAAATATTGTTTAATGCTAGTGATATGTTAGTTATATGTTGTTGGCTAACCTGAGTAGTTGTGTTAGCGATGTCTTAATTAGATCTTGTTGGCTAAGCTTAATGAGTAGTGTTAGGGATGTGTTAATTAAATGTTGTTGTATAATCTAATATGTAGTGTTAGGGTTTGCTAAGTTTCTTTGCAAATATATTTGTGTGACTTGTTTAGGTAATATGTATTCCGGTCTTTAAACAAACGACTATTATGTTTTTATAATGTGTTAAATGAGGTAGGATGTATGTAACAGTGAAGAGTTTATGATGCTGGAGGTAGTTCACATAATATGTATTCCGGTCTTTGTAATTTTTTATCATATTTCTTAGCAGTTCCTAGTGTAACAATACATGTAGTACATATATTCGTAATTTTTTAACATATTTCTTAGCAGTTCCTAGTGTAACAATACATTTAGTACATAGATTCGTAACTTTTTATCATATTTCTTAGCAGTTCCTAGTGTAACAATACATGTAGTACATAGATTCGTAATTTTTTATCACATTTCTTAGCAGTTCCTTTACTTGTAGGTTCATAACAATCATTCAGTGCATATTTCTTAATACTTAAAAATCGCGTAGGTCTTAAATTAACATGTTTGTGGATCATCTAGTTATGGAACCAATATAACCTAAGAAACATTTATGTTCATATACCACATTAGAAGTTCTGAAAGTAGGTATAGGATCCTTATACCTGAAGCATTACCGTAATCTTCTTAAAAACATGACTGACTTATAATCAGAATAGGCTGTTTTCCAGTGTAATAGAGGACAAAAGTAATTTTCGTTTTGCTACATTCCAATTAGGTAGTGTAGAAAGACTCGTATTATTAAAATACTTTTGAACTGAAAATGTATCTTTCAACAAATTTCATTAATCAATCTGTGAAAAAAATCCATATTTAATGGTTTAATTCGTATGCTCGATTAACCACTAGTTTAACCAGATTTTTCTTAAAAGATAAATATATATATATAATTATCAGACCTAAAATGTAACCCTGTGAAGGTTTTCTCATGTATATCATGAAAGAAGGATGGAAGTTGATGGTCAACGACGTATTTAATATTGTGACGTTTAAAAAACTCTCTACATGTACAGCTTCTCTGAAGATCATAAAGATATCATCGCATTATCTCCTATAATATGCTGGTTAAACTGTAAGGGACGTTCTCAGGACAAGTATCTTCACTGTGAGATAGGAGCAAATTAGTGACTGATAGATCTAATCGAGACAGGAAGCAACACCAACAAGATAGGCATAAATATCATTGCTAAATATAGATAATAATGTAGAAAACCCACTTCAGATTAAAATATCATATATAAATGAGGGACGACAAATTCTCCATCCAAACTGAACCTTAAATCAATACTTATGTACCCCTACTTGAGACAACCCGGCTACTGGAAATTAGCCTTACCTAGCCTTTTTTTGTTTGTTTGTTTGTTTTGTAACAATACATGTAGTACATAGATTCTTTCCTTCTTCAGCAGTATGTTTTTTTAGGGGTAGTTTAAATAGGAAAGAACGAAATCAGCAGGGTTTTTCCATCTTCAGCAGTATGCTTATTAGGGGTAGTTTAAATACAATAGTATCTAGTTGCATTTGATAGGGTACTCAGATCAAAATATCTCCTACGGGTTCTCAGTGAAACTGATTCTGAAGATTAACAATATTATTTGAATAAGCGAACCTGATCAAAATATCACATAGATGACAGTAAAATAATTGATAGATGAATTGATACAGACAGATGTTTAGGTTAATTGTTAGAGATCAGTTAAAGACGAACTTTCAGGCGGATTAATAAAGATCAGTTAAAGATGAACTTTCAGGTGGATTAATAAAGGTCAGTTAAAGATGAACTTTCAGGTGGATTAATAAAGATCAGTTAAATATAAACTTTCAGTTGGATTAATAAAGGTCAGTTAAAGATGAACTTTCAGGTGGATTAATAAAGGTCAGTTAAAGATGAACTTTCATGTGGATTAATAAATATCAGTTAAAGATAGACTTTCAGTTGGATTAATAAAGGTCAGTTAAAGATGAACTTTCAGGTGGGTTAATAAAGATCAGTTAAAGATAAACTTTCAGTTGGATTAATAAAGATCAGTTAAAGATAGAGTTTCAGGTGGATTAATAAAGATCAGTTAAAGACGAACTTTCAGGTGGATTAATAAAGATCAGTTAAAGATGAACTTTCAGGTGGATTAATAAAGATCAGTTAAATATAAACTTTCAGTTGGATTAATAAAGATCAGTTAAAGATGGACTTTCAAGTTAATTGATAGAGATCTATTAAAGATGGGGTTTCAGGTGAATTGATAAGATCAGTTACTGGTGGATTTTCAGGTTAATTGATAGACATCAGTTATAAGCAGATTTTCAGGTTAATTGATAGACATCAGTTATAAGCAGATTTTCAGGTTAATTGATAGACATCAGTTATAGGCAGATTTTCAGGTTAATTGATAGACATCAGTTATAAGCAGATTTTCAAGTTAAGTGATAGACATCAGTTATAAGCAGATTTTCAGGTTAATTGATAGACATCAGTTATAAGCAGATTTTCAGGTTAATTGATAGACATCAGTTATAGGCAGATTTTCAGGTTAGTTGATAGACATCAGTTATAAGCAGATTTTCAGGTTAATTGATAGAAACCAGTTACAGGTGGATTTTCAGGTAAATTGATAAAATCAGTTACTGACGGATTTTCAGTTGAATTGATAGAGATCTGTTAAAGATAGGCTTTCAAGTTAATTGATAGAGATCTGTTAAAGATGGGCTTTCAGGTTAATTGATAGAGATCTGTTAAAGATGGGCTTTCAAGTTAATTGATAGAGATCTATTAAACATGGGCGTTCAAGTTAATTGATAGAGATCTGTTAAAGATGGGCTTTCAAGTTAATTGATAGAGATCTGTTAAAGATGGGCTTTCAGGTTAATTGGCAGAAATCAGTTACAGGTGAACTTTCAGGTTAATTAACAGAAATCAGTTACAGGTAAACTTTCGGTGGAATTGATCAGAATTTGTAAAATTCACATAATTCGCATATTATATAACGAATTTTAAATAAACATATTTAAGTTAACTTAACCTTTAGATTTCATTTACCACAAATCGAGTTTTAACATAGTTTCCGGCTTACAAATTCAATTAGCTGAAAGATTTCGGCAACGTTTACCTTACGAAGATTCTCGTGCTGTGTCGCTATTGGTGCTTTATAACTGACTTCGAGGCACTATTGATTTTCTTCTTCATCTGTGGAAAGTAAACTGTACACGTATATCATTCTTAAAATGTATGCTTGGGATGAAAGATAAGTGTAATAGCAATGTTTGAAGCATGATTTCGAGCTCACAGATATTCGTGGAAACTATTACCGTAGTTGGAAATGCTGTTAGACTGATTCTTTGACATCAATTTCCTGGTTATTCTTCCCTGCAATTATCAAACCTCGTAAATGGTATAGTTTCCTTTTACTCTGTTAATAAGCAGTAACTAATCATCTAGAATCACTGGAATTATTTTGAAAAATAAAGAAACATATTAAAGCAAAGATTCAGTTTTACTCAGATTAATACATTATATACAAAATAGTTTGGGGTATATAAATTAATCTTTATGAAATTTCCATAAAAGATACTTTGCTCAATATTATGTTTTTAGCTTATAGTTCGGAGTTTTTAATGATTTTCTTTCTTAAGTAATTAAGTTTTTCATTTACTCGTGAGAACTTCGTACTTTTTATCATATTTATTAGCAGTTCCTACCCCTGTTGATTTCGTTCTTTCCTATTTAAACTACCCTTAACAAACATACAGCTGAAGATGGAAAACCCTGTTGATTTCGTTCTTTCCTGTTTAAACTACCCCCAATTTTTTAAAACTCGAAAATAATAGAAGTGGACTGATGGTTTCTTGAGATTGGATAAAATATCCTCTAAGCAAGTCTTTTATTTCTAGAATTAGCCTAAACTATTTACGAAGGGTCGAAGTTAGGATGATAAACAATATTGAAGATAAACTTAACCCTATTTAAATCTTACATCTTATAGACAAGCTGACTTTAAAAAGTGATAACAAAATTCGGGCTGATCTCTGACACAGATAATTTATAACAATCGTGTTAAGTTAACAGGGTTTGTCTGACTATCATATCCTTATCTTGTAACAATCATGTCAAGTTGGCAGTGTTTGTCTGACTCTTATCTTGTAACAATCATGCGAAGTTAACAGTGTTTGTTTGACTGTCATATCCTTATCTTACAACAATCGTCTTAAGTTAATTAACAGTTAAAAGCTCAGGTTTTACTTATTTCTCACACCTATATCGCCCGTCAGTCATGTTTAATTCTTGAATTATGTTAATTAAGTTCTAGTCTTGATATAGCCGTGAACGATGTTGAGTTCTTTCTACAAGGATTACAAGGATGTAATGAATGCTGACATGTCGTTGAAGGGAGATACTCAGTTTGTGAATAATTTTTTTATACAGAATCGTCTACATTTAATTGCGATATTTTACGTTTTCAAACTTAAATATTTGAAGTTGGATCCTCAGATTTGTGGCATAGTTTAATTCGAGTTAGAAAGTTTCTAAATGTCGTCATCCCCGTCGCTTTATAAATAGTCGTCATTGAACTAAACTACTTGTAGGCGTGCTGGATTTGACACTGTCCTTATTCATCACCCTTACTAACACGGATGTAAAGCAAACAAAGGAATTCTAACTGTGTAAATAGAAAATCTCCAAGGTAAGTGACGTCAATTGCCATCCCATGCTTAGACAGTGTTTCAGTGACGTTATTTGTTACGTATAAACTGTTCAATAGGGTATGATAACTTGACGATCTGAATGAATGGTGTTTACATTCTGGTTATCTTCTATTGTACCTGATTAATTTCACATCTATTTTAAAATATCCGATATAATAAAGCGTTTCGAAGAGTGTAGAACTTTAAGATTATTATAACTTGAATATAACATATTTTAGTGTTCAATTTTATTAGGAAAGAACGAAATCAGCAGGTTATTCCATCTTCAGCTGTATGTTTGTTCGGATGTACTTTACTGAATTAACAAGCCATTAGTTTTACAGACTTGATATTACGTGGATGTACTTTACTGAATTAACAAGCCATTAGTTTTACAGACTTGTATTACGTGGATGTACTTTACTGAATTAACAAGCCATTAGTTTTACAGACTTGATATTACGTGGATGTACTTTACTGAATTAACAAGCCATTAGTTTTACAGACTTGATATTACGTGGATGTACTTTACTGAATTAACAAGTCATTAGTTTTACAGACTTGTATTACGTGGATGTACTTTACTGAATTAACAAGCCATTAGTTTTACAGACTACGTAATACCAGTCTGTAAACTAATGACTTGTTAATTCAGTAAAGTACATCCACGTGATACAAGTCTGTAAACTAATGACTTGTTAATTCAGTAAAGTACATCCACGTAATATAATATTTGTTTCTAACTTTCATCTTTGAAAACTGATATATAATGCTTTCATTTTACAAAAGATTGTTATTGAAGAATTTTGACTTTATATTTTACTTTACAGTTGTTTTTCACAATTAGCAGGTGCAATAAGTACAATTGTAGTAATTTTTGATAAACATATAAGCTAAGCCTATAATAAAAAAACGTTGTTTGGCAAGAAAATCAATACCGTATTTTTCGGAATACAAGACGCACGCTTATTTTGAAGACAAAGTTTTTGGGAAAAAAGCTACAGTCGCATTTGAAAGAT